TATACTCTGTGTCAAACCAATGCAGCTTGATTGCTTCAACTTTGCGCCACTTCATTGGTGCAAACTGAGAACACAGTAATGTCACTCCCTCTCTAATAACACTCCGACAGTCGGTGTTAGCGAACCTATGTTTTCGATAATTCCGCTTCAGGCTAGTACAACTATATACCAATTATATCAATCAGACAAACTACTGAGGTCGTTAAAATAGGAATAAACCCAGTGTTCAGAGGAGCTCAACCATCGGTGTTAATTATACCTGTGTCTGAGCGTGCATCCGGTGCACCTGCGTAAAGGTCACAAGTCGATCGGGCCAGGGCAACCGTAAGACCTGTATGAATCGTTTCTGAGTGCATTGTCTTCCGCAGATGAAGCTTGCAGCAGATACCAACCTACTGGGTTCGCCGCCTGAGTGAGACCGTCGAATTTAGTTTTTCAGTAGTCGTAAACTGACTCTAGCTGACGGGAATACGGTAAACATAGATCCATACTTTCTATGAGCACTGAGTGACCGCTTGCTGCTGAGGGCTCTAGGACCTGAACGCAGTTCACATGGTCACAGCTCGTTAACATTAAGTCTAGACACGACGGTTGAGCGCGGCGTTATTCTAATCGGCTGATATAGCGTCGCGCTACTTCACTTTCAATTACCAAGTCCATGGATTTTGTTTCAACCTCGCAATCTCCGGGCATGAGTTCAACTTCAGACCAACATACTCGAGAATTGTTGAAATAACTCATAAGTAGAAAACGGGGACCACTCAGCTGTTTTCGGAGATGCGGCAGCCGATCCAAACAACGGCTGAGGAGACTACGATAAAATGTATCCACGGGTAACTCCCCGCATCTGAGGTGGATCGAGCACTAAGCTGCTCGCACAGACCATCATCGCTTCTGTCGACACTCACTCATTTCCCACACTGGAGCCAACCTTCAACTATTAGAAGGCGGACTTTAATGGCCTCATTCGAGCAGCGAGCCAGACGGACTGGTCTTTACCACAGGATTCATCTATTGAAACCTGTTGCACTATCATTAAAGAGGGAGTGAAATCGTTGTGCGCCCGATTTGTACCCCTCAAATTTCGAAAAGTTGGGCCAGTCAAACCACATTTTTTCGACAAAGAGTACAACAAACTGGCCCGACGACGACGCAGACTATGGAACAAGTTCGTGTTATCTGGCTCTGATGAGGACTACAATGCGTATAAGGTACAGCGAAATCGCTGCAACGACGCGAAAACAAGCAAACGCAGAAGCTTCGAAGAGGAGCTTGCAACTGCCGCAAAAACTGCTCCCAAGAGGATCTTCGCAAATGTGAAGCGGCGCCTGAGGCCTGTAGCCAATGTCCCAGTGTTAGAAGGCTCCGATTTACAGCCGCTAACCTCGAGTACAGATCGTGCGTCCGCATTGGCGACGCACTTCGCCTCCGTATTTGCAAGTGACTAGGTGTCTGTAACGAGTTCGACGAGTACCGCTCCAGCCGAACTTAACAGCCTGGACTGCAATATTGAGGATGTACGCAAGCTTCTAGCAAATCTTGACCGGACAAAGCCTGCTGGGCCAGATAGTATACACCCACTGATCCTCAAGTCCCTATCGGCCATCATCGCGCCTTCTGTAACTGAACTGTTTAACAGGTCACTATCTACTGGACTGTTACCAGACGACCGGAAATGCTCAGTCGTAAAGCCTATCCCGAAAGGTGGTAACCCAAGTAAGGTGGATAACTACTGGCCGATCTGCCTGACTGCTGTTTTGGCAAAGACACTCGAGAAGATCGTGAATAAGAACCTTCTGCAGCTTCTCGAGTCGAAAAACCTGTTGACCTCCGCACAGCATGGTTTCATGAAAGGTCGCTCGTGCATCACCAACCTAATGTTGACGAGGCACGAGTGATTACAAGCGATGAACCAAGGCCATTCAATCGATGTCATTTACATTGACTTCAGGAAGGCTTTTGACAAGGTTAACCATGCAGTGCTCCTTGACAGGCTGAGGATGTACGGTGTTAGTGGTTCGCTTCACAAATGGATCAGAAATTTCCTTGTGGATCGGAAGTGGAGAGTCCAGGTGGACAACCATCTAACGGACTGGTATTCATCGAGCAGCGGCGTGCCCCAAGACACTGTACTGGAGCCGATATAGTTTCTGATCCATGTAAACGATGTGCCTAAGCTACTCCAGTCACCATGTGCGTTGTTCGCAGATGACTTGAAGGTGTGGAGAGTAATCCGCACACTCAATGATTGTGATTTACCTCAGCAGGATCTCGACAGCCTCTCGACATGGTCTGCAGAGGTTAACCTTCCGATCAACCCTGCTAAGTCGCAATTCATGAGGTTGGGTAAATGCGAGCACAGCGGAACGTACACAGTGGCTGATCAACCGCTGCATCCCGCTCCTTTCGTGCGCGACCTCGGTGTGCTCTCACGCTGCGACCTAAAGTCCATTGACAACACGAATAGGCTGTACCAAAACAGCCTTCGGATGCTTTGGGCGCTCAGGCGCAGCTTCGGCACTTGGTCCGAAGAGATTGCCAATCGCCTCTTCGTCTCGATAATACGACCAATGCTAGAATACGGCTCTCCCGCGTATTGTCCCATCACGCTGGGCGAGGTTGAAAAGCTTGAGCGGGTGCAACATGTAGCCACTAGGCTGATTCCCAACTTACGAGGTATGCCATATGAAGACCGATGTAAGAAACTAGGGCTGTACACCCTAGCATATCCTCGGCTGAGGGTTGACCTAATCATGACGCACCGGATATTACATCTCAGTGATTACCGCATGTTGAGGCAACTGCTTCATCTGCGCACACCAAGCAGCATGCGAGGACACCGGTACAAACTTATCGTACCGCAGTTGAAGCAGGTAGCTCACCAACTCTGTTTCGAACGTAGAGTGGTGAATACCTGGAACAAACTGCCGCAGCCGGTAATAGAGGCGAATTCAATGGCCGAATTTAAGAAGCTTCTAGACAAACACTTTGCAGAGGCAAAATATAAAGAGTGGAACGATAGTTAATACGTTAATGTCCAAGAGCGACAATTGATGCAGCTACACAGAGTATACTCTACTCGCTGCTTCTAATCAGTATCAGTACAGAGGGGACCGGATGTAGATCAATACGCCACCGTTGCCAGTCGATAGTCTATCGAAGCAGAAGCATGAGTAACCACTGAGTCCGATTTCTTGGGCTATCACCTCAGACTTCAACCAAATCTCTGCGAGTCCCACTACTTCTGGCCGCTCAGATACAACGAGACGACAAAGTTCATCGCGCCCGCTCATAAGACTACAAATGTTGGCAAAGGTTACACCCAGGCCGCAACAGGGACCACTGGGTGTGTTTGAAGTGTGAGCAATCTGTTTGTCCTGCTTCGAAGAGTCGTAAAAACGACCCGAAAACTTATGATGCAGAGATTTTTTCCCTATCACGATTTCGTCTCTTCAGTTTAATGGCAGACTTGCGTCGTTCTCTGTCCACCGTATCTAAGTCTGGACGAACATGGAGATTTAGACCTTGCAGCCTATTTAGTCAGGACAAGGTTAGCCTCGGACTGACTTCGTCCACAAAAGTGATTTTCATTGGTCGATTTTGTTGATCGCCTTTCTTTCCAAGTCGGCAATTCTTACACCAAATTGGAACCAAATCATGTTGGATTTCACGGAAACGCCGTTGATGCTCAATCGATAGTCCAGTGCATGAAATATGAAATTTAATGTGACACATAACACATGTGAGTGCATTTGCTCGACTTCTGACAACCTTGGAACAGGCAGCACAAGGCGGTTCTTTCGGCATTATGGAAAATCCGAGGCCATGATGTGTCGGTCAAGTGTGGGGCACAAAGCGATAGTAAGATCTCCGAAATTAAACTGAGGTAACACAAATGTTTACGGTCGAAACATTCAGAATCAAAAAACACTTTGAATGATATTGTAATTCCCACGAAATAATTCCAGTTCACTGAGAAATCTAACAAGAAATAATCTATTAATACAGCAAGGAAAGAATCAACCGGAGGCCGCAGTAAATAACTCCATTCGCACCTTGGGTTCCTGCAGTGTGCTGGGTTGTCTTCGTGCGTCCGTTGATCTGTTTGCTATTTTTACGCATGCATAGTAAGATGAAGTAACCAGTAGTTGAGGTACGATCGATTATGGGTAATGCTGTCTTTGTTCGGTACTTGTCATCTTCCCAGGGAAGGATTGTGGTTAGCTACACCGACGTTCAGAAATCCAATCGAATCGGGTACAGTAGGGGGATCCGTTGGCGTCTTGCTTCGAGCCCAATTCCTCTTGAACGAAATTTTTCCTCATTTTCTCATTTTCCTACTTTCCGATGGCACTTTTGCTACTTTGGCGACGCCAGTTAAGGCAACGGGATCCATTGCACTTAGTCACTTGGATCGTAGTTGTTTGACTGAACTGAAGTGATGGCCGATTCCTTGGCTCTCATGGCAACTTTCAGCTTAGCACTTACGAGTGGCCATTGGAGTAACACATTTGTGTAGCGGTTGTGTCTCGTTTCGCTCAATTATCTCATTGGCAGTACTTGAATAGCAATAGACAGGTCGGACACAGGCCACAACAATTCTCACTAAATTTTTGACAACGGACTATTTTCACTATAGTGTTGCGTTGGATCGAGTTGCTTTCGATACATGGCACCTCAAGACCTTGCTCCTCAATTTAAGGCGCCTTTGTGCTGGCTTATATTATGTGCAATTTACAGCCTGTGTTCTGTAGTCCTTTTCTCCCACGCAGCAACGTGCATGTCCGGCCCTAACTTTGGGAACCACTCGAGTATGCTCCCTGTGGTGCCACAGCAGTCGAGAAGTTTACGGCATACCGCGGATTCACGAACTTGTTGCTACCACCATTTTCCGCCTTCTCCTGGTTTATACTTTGCACACTGAAATGGCCTAGACAGGTTCGTGTTTTCTTGCGTATTCTCAGCATCAACTTTCCTCTTTAACACTACCTCCGTTTCAGATTATGAAAACCAGGAATTCCTATTGGTTACCGCAGACAACACTCAGTGGCATTTTGAAGCTTCTTCCACGGCTGATCGGGACGATTGGATACATCATATCGACTATGTTATCCACCAGCGCTTAAGATCCGTTGTTGCACTACCTCACGATGATTACCCACGCGACCCTTACACAGGGGACATGAAATCTGTCATGGAGCACAGTTTGGTGTCGAACCGCATCCACTTGGCACGTCCCCTTTCATTTACAGCCACTGGCTCTTGTATGTTCAAGGACGGCGCTGGAGAAGATGTGTGTGACCAAGACGAGGTTTTGAAGCGGCTGACTGCCCTCCCTGGAAACGATTACTGTGCGGATTGCGGAGCACCAAGTGAGTCTAATTGGTGAGGATTTGCTCACCACGAACCATACGGGCAGCTTCATTCGCACTTGCATGTAGTCGCATTGTTGGTCTTTCTTATCCGGCGCTACAACAGTTTTTGCGTGCAATATGTCCACACGAATCCCCCACCTATGCGTCTTTGTCGGCACCCACTGATGTGGCAGATGCCATCTTCCATTCCTTTGACTAGGTTGGGTCATCAGAAGCCTGTACACCCCAACCGAACGAACATCACCACATTGCGCCACACGCTGATAATGTGATGACGTTTGTCCATCACTCGTTAAGTCAATAATTTCTACCGTGATAGCACCTGTGATGAACATCTGTCTCTATTCTCACTGTTGGGTGTTCCTATCCTGCCTTGACATCCGTACATTCGACCTTTTCAAAACCCACGTGTTACAAAACAACTGATTACTTTTCTAGACTCGCTTTGTATGTAGCTCACTACTGAGGCCATGCGTCAATCCACATGACACTTACACGAGTTAGTTCATCTGCGTTAAGGAGCCACAAGCAGTTTGTCCATATGAGTCGCGTGCTTTTCGCACATTGCTGTGATAAGTGTTGGCCAACACATCGCCAGTTATTACGAGCGCAGTGTGGATGATCCCCGAAGGGGTGGACCTAGTGTCCTGGCCGCCAGCTTGAATACCTGGACTCCACATCGATGCTCTGCTTCGACAGCCGCAGGCAAATGCGCACAATCTAGGCCACTGAAGGTTACACAGCATTGGGGGGGGGAGGTGAATCTCGGAGTGTAGGTGCTGCGCGCTAAGAGCCTGAGTCATCAATCCTCTGATCCCCTTCAGCTGCAGTTCAAAACGTTGTTGGATTTGCATTTCACCGCCATTCGTTTCAAAGAACGATTGCGCACTAGCAATGACATCTCACATTTATGAGCCCGGTGGAACTGTAAGTCCGACATCTTGAATGCTACCTAAGCACTTGGAGTATCACTGGTGGCACATACATTTTATCGCATTTTTGCTTCTACTGGGACGGAGTCGCACAGATTTAAATTCCTGCTTTCTCCCACATACAGTATTCTTAACGATTGCCCGATGTGTGACCCTACACTAGGGCCAACACTACTAATGACGGTGAATCAACGCTACTCCCCCACTGAAATTTTCATTACTCTTCATCCGAAACATTCTGTTTGGTCACGCTGCATGCAACCTTACCGATATTGCTGTACTATAACTGGGTTGGCCTTCGGGATTGACTGGCCGTCACCTTCCGCTTGCATAATCCCATCGGAGGTAACCACTACAAGACTTTTCTCCCTTCTGGTTTGTAATGGAACCCTCCGATATTTGTGGAGCGCAGGATACGTTAACCAATCGCGACGGCTTCTTCCTGATCATTTGCCATTGTCCTATCCTATTCTTTCCGACTGTTCATTGTTCCGCATGCGCTTTTCTTTCGTTGAGCTCTGTCCAGCTCACTTCTGCCCTGTCTTTGGTTGCGTTGAACTTGACACATGTTTGATCGAGCCTGCCTCCGCTGTCCCTCTAGCCTATGCGATATTAGTTAACTACCGTGGACAGTTACGCGTCGGCTCCATTGGTTCACTGGAGCGACCACCGTTGCATCCCTCGCCGCCTGTCTGCGTTCGTTGACGCGCACGCACGTGTCGCTCGCTCACTCGCTATTGTTTTGGCCAGTCTGCCACTTCTTTCTCCATGACCTAGTTGTGCTTCGTTTACCCTAAGGTGATCCGATCCTACTTTGTCTTTTGGGGCGTACTCAGTTCGTGTTGGCGGTGATTGTCTGCTATTTACCAGCGCGGCATCAGTGACATTCGGGAAAAAGGCCAGACCCATCATGTAGTGAAGCCATCCGATGGGTAACGCTACTACCTTTCAGTTAGGTTTGTTCTATTGCCTATTGAGATCACACACTGGGCCATCTTGTTGTATTGTCTGTGTCTGGCATACCTCACTTTGCTCATACTCGCGGTTACATGCCTGGGGATTTTGTTTTCATGGAATGCGAAGGGGGTTAACTGAACACCGGCTGAACGATTGCGTTTAGCTTGTTTGTGTCTTTTCCACCAAGTGAGTCCGACGTTCAAGGACATTATTCGTCGGAAATCCCACTCTGGAATCCACACTATACCTTTCATAGGTTGCCCCCTAACCTTAATTCTACTTTTCGGCCTCATTGCGATCATTAGTCTATTTTTATGTTTTATGCTGTCCAACTATCGTTTGCGGTCAGTAACATCTGCGCAGAGTTCACCTCATGTGTTCACCGTTTGCCCACTAGTTTAGGTTTTTCTCCGTATATTTCACATGCATACCTGATATTGGAATGGCATCCTCATAAACCTCGTAAACCTCGGTGTTGATCTCACCGTCACTTTGGCAGTTTGTTTCTACCAGTATACTCGCGATTGTTGTAAAATGGTTTCTCTCGCTTGTTCGTGCTCACTGCACGCCTTCTGGACGGACATAACTCTTAAAGGTCCGTCACTTGTGAAACAATCCATCGCGATGTGACCGAGCTTTGATGTGGCGTAGCGGTTTGCGTTTTCCTATAACCTCTTGTACTGAAGTGGTCAAGAAATAGGGTCAGATGAAGTCGGGTTCCTCTTCCGTCGATTGAGGAGCGATCGATTCCCATCCTCCTTCAGCACAATCTGACATCTGTTAGAGTCTCGGTTAGACTGATGTAACTCACGAATATTACAGGCTTTACCCCTGATGCTTGGAGGGCACATCCGTTGCGCTTCGAAGTGTGACCACCGGCATCAAACCAGTTCCTAGCCGATGAGCCGTTATACATAAGGGGCTTGAGAACGATCATGGTGGCATACAAACCATCGGATAAATGTAAACTTCAATCGCGTCTCATTAGGCGCAGTTTGCCGTCTTCGTATATGTGGTATAAATTTTCAGCAGCTGCTATCGTGCTAACTTCTGCAACTAGCTTACGATTCTCACTCACATCGATGCCATCGACAGCGCGCTTCAGATTTCGTCCTGGATGCCTGACTGCCTGTTTTATAAGTTACGGTCCCAGTGGTCGAATTGGCCAAGATTCACTACTCTGTGAATTGCAATGCACTGAGATTGCACGTCGCAATTCATCCATTTAACGAGTGCTTCAGAATGACTCCTTCAGTCAGCTCATCTCCGTATTCCTTTTCTCGACGGGTTCTAGCATTATCAATGTGCAACTGATGCTTAGCTCTATGAGTAGTAGTTCATACACTTTCACAGCGGACTACAGGTTTATCATTGTTAACGTGATCGCTACCAATCACCTCAGGTACCCAACTGCTGTCTACTTTGGTACATATTTTTGCTATGTGACAGGCAGCGCCTACTATCGCGTCTCTCGCTCCTTACCATGTTGGTGTTCCTGCACAGATCCCGAATGGGCCAGCCTCAGTCTAGTTGTGCTTGTCTGTATCGAATGCAGTGGAGTTCACCGTGAATTGGGCACACACATCTCTCGTGTTCGGTCGGCTGCTCTGGACACTTGGACACGCGAGCATTTGGCGGTTATGGTCGCATTTGGAAACACCCTGGCCAACTCGGTTTGGGAAGGCGCTGCTCCCTCACAGGCAAAGCAATATAAGTATGTTACCACTCATTTCTTTCCGTTGATTTGTCGTTTCTTACCAACCTGCTACATTTGATCATTTGTGCCAGCGGTAGCTGCATCTCACTGCCTGCAACATATTCGTCTGCTCAATCAGTGTTCCCTTTGATGATGGATATATATACCATGTAGGTCGGCGGCCACTTCGGAGCTTCTCGCATAACGTACTGTCTTTTAGCACAAATTCGTCAAGATTCATACTTTTCAGGTGACTTTTTTTTATCCAGGCTTGTGTTTCTGCAAGCAGATAGTGTACTACCGTTTCGATGTGTAAGCTATTACGGTTGGCGTTGGATGACGTTAAATCGCAACTCTGTGGGCCATTTTTGATGCGTAACAACTCTAAGTCTGCGATATACTATCGTCCATTCGATGCTCATTATCTTTCAAATATCTCAATAATTTCTGCCGTGTGCAATCGTTTTATCATCTATGGTGCTTTCGTTAGCTTATCACTGCAACCAATTGAGCGTCATTGCTTGTCCGCAATCGACCGGCAACTTTTCTCTTAACTTTCATCATGTGGCCTACCAAAAACTTGCGACCCCGACCCTTCTCTGTATTAACGGAGGTTTAAATATCCCAATTCCATTTGCGGAAGAACAGCATTACCAGTGATCTGTTGAAGAAGACTAACTGTGACTTTAGTGATGCGCGTTTCCTTCTGTCACCTTTTATCGTCCCACGAACGTCTTCATTGTTACGAATTGGTTCGATCTTGACAGTTAACGAGCGCTACTGGCACACAATCAAGCAAAACCCACCGCTGAGAACACTTATGGTTAGGATGACAGCATCCTCAAGCTTATGTGTGGTCACCGTAATACCACAATCGTTACAGCTTTTCCAACTTGATTTCATGTTCAACTCTAGTTCGCATCTAACAGCTGGTGCATATGCTAGTTATTCTGGCTACGCAACAGAATCAACTATGACCCCTGGGTTGCATATCTCGAGTAGTTCAGAGTACATCGGCCGCGTGTTCTCCATTAGAAAAGTGTGATGCATAGTTGTTTCCCTGGTTGGCAGGTTTCAGCTCCATTCCCCCTGCTACCACTTCAATTTTTATTTTACCCCACAGCTAAAAAGTGCGCCACCGTGATTTTGACAAAGGCAGCAAACTTAACCGGTTGCACTACGGATAAACGGTCGTGTTGCTTTGCTTATTTCATCAACTGGTCCGCATTACCCAACGGTCTTAACCTTTTTGAATCCGCTTCTGTTACTTCATACCACGGACAATGTGGACAGCCGCCATAGACCGTCTCGACTTGCTTACTCTCAAGTATAGCGGCTATTGGGTGGGCAATGTAAATTCGTCAGTACTGTCGTCTTAGCAGTCGAACTTTGTCCATCCATGTCCGACACTCTACTTCCTTCTCGAATGCCTTTTCGTTTGATCTCGGAACACCGTATCACTGTATTTGAATGGCTCAGGCACACTTCTCAGGTATAAATTAAGAGCCAATAGGCGGGCCCGCTTCCAGTAAACAAAAGCAGAAGCGGAATCTTTGTGCTGATGCTTCAACTGCATGCAATGCCATAATCACCCTACAAACGATGCGAAGTCATGATCGCGTAACCACTTTTCAGCCCCATCTGGGCATCATCTGTGCAGCGTCCTACACGCACGCTATCAAACCGAATAGCCTTATCGGATATCATTCGTTGTTGTACATTGGTGCGCTCTCGATCGTACGCTGCCGAGGGGCGCATACGATTTTCACCCCTTCCTCCGTAACACTGTCCAACAGACTTCTAAATTGCATAGGAAATATGTGCAGTATTCTGTCGTACGAGTTTTACGCCACTTCTCTCACAAATGATTTCAGGTTCGTCTGCAGTAATTCAACCAAACATCACAATTCTTCCCCGTGGTCGTAGCGATGTATCTCAGTCGGCTCGACTTATCCCTCTTTTCCTATGCATTTGTGACCAGCCAATCGAGTTGCCTCTGTTGGCGATCGCTCCAGTCTATTTGATTTGCCCTTCTCTTTTCTCGGTATTTGACGTCTTAGATACCCACCAATTACTATTCGCCCCATGAGCGTCTCTTTATGCATACCTTTCAGGAAGCCCGAGCCTAGCTCCCCTCGGGAGGTGCGTGCCACCTGGATTCAGAACAAGTATGTTCACCGTCTGTTTCTTCCTCCTTTGCCTCTGGCATCTCGTCCGATCCATCAGGACCTAGTGGATGCACTGATTCGCAAAGACATGCGAAGCTTGCTCATTTGCTTGGCTCTTTGCGGTGCCTCTCCCAAACAGCAGCAGTATTTGGCTCGCACCAATTCGAAGCAATCACTCATCAGTGCTCCGTACAACGAACATGTTTCATGGACTCCACTTCATCTGGCTGCGGCTCTCGGAGATCTAGCCTCCACACAACTGTTACTTTGGGTAATTTTCCGCTAATTGATTTACTTTCTGTTCCAATGGTACTCTTCATCCGTATTGATTAGTGCCTTATCCGTCTAACCGCTTCTAACTTCATATGTTCCCAAGATATTCGATACTTTTCTCTTGACCGCACTCGTTGCAACTGAACTCAATCAGAGATCGTCAGTACTCATCAGTAAAACCATTCTACGTGTCATATGTGGGGTTAGAACTCGTGACGCTGCCTTTAGGAGTCCCTGTCTAAAACAACTAGACTTCGGGGAACGGCGACGACAGATATAACAAAGTTACCGTCTCGGGGGAGGTGGAACTAACCTGTCCTATACACAGCAGTGTGCCGTTTTGGTCACTTTGGTCGATGCCGTTCGCCGCGGCCTGGTGGCTTTAATCACGAACTTTTCAGAGTATGACCGCGGGTTCCCATCCCACATGAGGTGCTGCTGGCGGTTCCCGAAAGCATTAAACGGCCTTCCGGGGCTTTTCGGATCTGTGCTCGTTATCCGACTAAGTGTAGCTTCAATGAATTCAACTTGTACGAACTGGATAGGAGAAATATTTACTAAATTAACAACAAAATAAATGGTATGTTCCCACAAACGGTCTTAGCAATCTTAGTGCAATGTTATACCAACCTCACGACGAGGTTTGCAGCACTTGCTTTCAGCAAACATAGCACAGCTTGACAGTTGAGCTTTCGGTACACCGAGCAAAGTACATTGGTTCCACATTGGCATTTGAATTAACGTTTGGGGTCTGTTACTACATTATTTTCGAATATGAACACGTGTGTTGATCGCTGTGAGTGGTTGTGTGCATCCTCAAATTGTACTAACCCAGTTTCATTATGTAAAAACATTTACCCTGTTAGCACATCTCCTGTTTGTTTCCATCTTTGGCTCCTAGTCATTCAGAGACGAAGAGGGGGCCAACATGGGAATAACACATACTTTTGAGATGAAACACGCATTTCGCTTTATGATTTTAAACAAAAATCTAAAGACGTGGATTATGAGATGACGCCGTCATTTCGTGCATTCATATCAATCGCAAAAACATGCAACATTGAAACATACACGAACGGTGATCACAGATAACAAAATGCATGGGCTATCACGATAGTCTCAGAGCCACTGTCAGCTGCCTTTGCATGCACGGCGGTGGCCGTTCGCGATCGAAAACCATAGCCAAAGGGGCCGTTGTAAACAACTCATCAGGATTGTCCCGGTGACTAGTAGTCAGCAAATGCCTGGTGATTGCTGAGGTAGCTCGGTTTGGAATTTCTAACTGGGAACTCGTCTTCATTTCCACATTACAGTTGGCCAATTTGAGCGCACCCCGACTAAGCCAATGAAAATGCGGTCATACCCCTCTGATTCGTCTTCTACTACTATTCCCCTTGTAAATGTGGTGTTGTGGAAAGGACGTGGAGTTTTGCTAAGAATATTTTATTATTTTCCGTAAAGGAATGCGTAATCGTTTCAGAATTACATATTCTGTCACCGTTACATTCTTACTTCGCTAAGCGTTTTACGGTGGGAACAGTGACGAATTCAGAAGCAGGGGCGTTTCAACACGAATCCAATCAGACTATCGTTTTCATTGGTTTAGTCTCGGCGGTCCGATTGATTAACTGTTAAGTGGAAGTGAATGCGTTTTTTCTGTCTCAAAAGCATGGATTTATTGTGGAATCGAGAGTGGACGGGAACTTGCCGAGCGAGAAGGTATAAAAAACATATGAGCAGATATTCGCTTACAACTAGCTTACCCACTACATGTCATTACCTACAATACCAAATGCTGTGTCTGTGCAGCCTAGTAGCCCCTCCCTTTTATTATCTACTCCTGATGACACAAACACCCGTAAATATGAGATGCACGGTCTAGGACCCAAGGAAAAAGAATCATGATTCGAAATTCTGTTAATAAACGTTTTCCTGAAGGACACTTGATAATACTTACTCCTTAACGCTAAAATCTAAGCTACGGAGTCAGGAGAAATTTTTTCGATAAGAGTGTCGATCCCAAGAAGAATTTGGATGTAATCTACGACCATACGGCATTTATGTGTCTCGTTCGTACTTACTTAGACTTGAGCTTGCCACCGGAATACCGATGACTCAAAGATTCCGTCCTTTAGAAGCTTCTTTATTTCTGGCTCACTAGACCTCTCGTCCGCAGAAGAGTGACGCATTGATTTTGCGGCAATCTGTTAGCAGGTGGAGTGATCGTTTCCATACATGGAGGGAAGATCCCCACCGCCAGACGATGGTGAACACAAGGAGATGGAAAGTTGACAACGTAACAATAGAATTTGAACAAATTGGTAACGTCTAAGAAAATCATATCCCAATAGTACATCTGAACAAAGATTTGAGGGTACGGACACTATAGTGCCTGTGAACTGACGGTCTTTATACTGCACGGTAACAAGACTATGACCACTGGTAAACCTGTTAAACGGATGTTAAACCGTGGAGTATTGCAACGAGAACTGAGGACATTCCAGTTAAACCCTTTGGCAACCGACACAGCAATGTACCTCTCCGAGCTTCTGATATCAAACGGCGTTTTTAGGAAGGCGTTGTTGGTGAGCACATTGATGACGGAGTTGGAGAGACCGTTTGTCCCGAGCGACGGTTTTATTGCGGGTAAGCAACCATGGAGTTCTGAAGCAATGTTTTTAGATGAGGATGGGCAAACTTGATAGTGTCCTTATTCCAACACCTTTACAATTAATGTCGTGCACAAGGCATTGCCATTGCTCATGTCTGTTGAACCCGCCCAAGAAGCATTTGCTCTGCGTTGTAGCAGCGATGACATGTTTGGCTGAGACGAATGAGGCACTTGGCTTTTGCAAATGTGCTGACAGGTGTACGGTAGATGCATCATAAGCCTTTTCTGCTCGGTATGACTGTGACTGACGGTGGTTCATTTTCTGGGATCGGGACTGTTTAGGAGCGGTATGTAGATTGAGTGACGCATATTTCAGAAGACGTCGACTTGTACATTGTTACTGAAGTCCAGCTATGAATACGTCTCCTTTGGTCTCTTCGAGATTCTCCTCTCTAGTTAGTTTAGTCACAATCATGGACCGATGACTTCTGTCTGAACGTGTCAAACTTTTCGTCCACTGGTTGCTCACCATAATGACCTCTTTTTTAAGTTTGATATATCTAGTTCTGAGAGTTTCGATGGCGAGTTTGTAGTTTGTGCACCTCTGAATGAAATCATCTACATCAGGAGACACGTAGTTCGCCGGCGGTAGTAAGTCCCTTTGAGGTGTAAACGTAACTTAGTTCGCTGCCTGTATTACCGCGCCTCCAAATTCCATAGCCCCAACTCCCTAGAAATGGAGAAAAAACGTGTATTCGAAACGCTACTTTCAATCGGTTACCCTGTCTCATTTAACAAAAACTATGCTATGCTATAATCCGTGAACACGGTGAGCCTATCATAACAGTCCCAAGAATTATATGTTTTTTACTGTTCCTGTTAAGGGGACATCACTTTCGACCTGTTGAGTAGAAAACTTTCCACCGCGATGACCGAAACTTATCCTACAGCTAATCCACACATTCTCTCGGAGACCACCCCATTTATTGCTCAGCGCCTTAAGGACATATTAAAGGTCAACTCTGAATCGTATATGGTATATCAGTTTACTTGCACCTGTGGTGCAAAGTACCTCGGACATACAACCAGGCGTCTGTCGACACGGAAAGCTTGGCACTGTCAAGGGTATCTGCGGAAAGGTATTGTCGGAAGTATCAGGAGTTCCATCCCTGAACATTTGGTTCAAAGCGGACACTAACTTCCGACCAACGATGCATTCCGCGATTTCTACACAGTGCCAAAGCAATATCCAAAGGGGCTTATGTAGCGCCTCCTGAGTGTAACCGAAGCGCTTGCGATTAAGCTGACGCAACCAGAGCTCTGTTAACGGGTGTTGTCGCAAGCTCTAAATTTGCCTTAGCCGTAGCGTGAATCCTTCCGTACGGGACACTGAGGACGACCGATTGTGTTTTCACATCTCGACTGAGCCACGTTTCGTGAAGAAGTAAACGAGTTGTCCGACTCCCATCACCTGATCTAATCAATTTAACTTCCTTTTGAATAATGTCAGCCAGTTCTGTCTGTATTTTTGTTCGTCGCAGTCAGCCGACAACTCAGATAAGTCCACTACCTATCCGGAAAATATTCGCCAAAATCTTTCTACTCATAAGTAATACAAATTCACCCTTACGGATTCCATAACTGCTATGTCGATTCATAGCTGCCGTAACCGAGATGTCCTGACGCCGGAAGGCCAACCGCTGTCATCTGCATGGCAGGTGCCTGCATGGCAATGGAGGATGGGTCGGGCTATATCGCAGTTAGCTAACAATTCGTGATGGTCGGCTACCGTCCTCCATGGCTCAGTTGCACAAGCAGCGGGCTAGTTGGCACAGGCCACTAGCAGTCATGGGTTCTATCCTCCGTAGAGCACCGAAGGATGCGCATCACTGGCGAGCCCCAATAGGGCGAAACGGCCGTCTGGTGCTTTTCCGGATAGCTGGTCGACAAATCTGAATTGTCGGCTGATTGCGACGAACAAAAATTCTCGCCAAAATCCTTCTACTCATAAGTAACACAAATTCGCCCTTACGGATTCCATAAATGATTTGCCGATTCATGGCTGCCGTATCCGGGAAGTCCTGACGCCGGAAAGCCAACCGCTGTCATCTGCATGGCAGTGGAGGATGGGTCGGGCTATATCGCAGTTAACTAACAATTCGTGATGGTCGGCTACCGTCCTCCATGGCTCAGTTGCACAAGCAGCGGGCTAGTTGGCACAAGCCACTAGCAGTCATGGGTTCTATCCTCCGAATGATGCGCACCACTGGCGAGCCCCAATAGGGCGAAACGGCCGTCTGGTGCTTTTCCGGATAGGCAGTGGACTTACCTGAGTTGTCGGCTGACTGCGACGAACAAAAAACCCGCCAAAATCCTTCTACTCATAA